AAAACCCTAAGCCCATTTCAAGTTTTTCACAAAACTTAAACTTTCAGAGAGAAAAACAGTGTTTTTACACTCAAGAGATTAGTTCATTCTCTTACCGGTTGATGCACACTCGTTGCTATCAAAACACATCCATTCCCAGCAATCAAGAGGTAAAGAAAATTCTTCTCTTTTTCTTTTTTCATTCCTATTAAAAAACTTAGTTATTACATTAATGGTGGGTGTAAATGTCTGGTAGGCTCAGAGAGTGAACATTTCCGGGTAGCGTTTAAAAAGAAACACTCTTAAGAGTTGAAACCTAGGGCGTAGATCCTTACAAAATCACCCTTAAGAATTTTTAGGGTTTTTAGGGTTTTGGCGGCTATGGAAGAGAAACCAGGGTTTCTTTTACTCTTTTGAGTCGTCAGACGGGGTAATGTAAACGGAGACCAACTCACCTCTACATGTCACAAATTTTCATACTCTAAGAGAGATGGACATCCCTGAGGTGAGAACAGCCAGAGAGGGAAACTCTCAACCATCGGGCACCTCAGGAGGTCCTAGGCAGGTGGTACGAATAACAGTTACAAAGAATGAGGTGCAAAATGCGATAGACCAATACGCGTTAAGTGTAAACGTCTTCCAACACAGGTTGCACACTGCTCAGGATCCTCCCGAGGGAATGGTTACGATCTCAGAAGCGATCTTCAAATGTGGAGTGAGGATACCCCTTCACCCCTACATCAGGTCGATCCTTGATCACTTTCAGGTCGTGTCATTCTAGTTGACCCCAAATGCATATATGATAGCGGTCGCTATGTATTTCGTGTTTGGTAAACATAACCTCGGTGGGCAAACAATAGTGAAACTCGGCTGCGCCTATTACCTAAAGAAGAGTAAAGACAATGATTCATACTACCTCTCCAAGTGATCAACGATCGAAGCAGGGATATTTGGTTACCCTAGCAACGTCGGAGCTTATGAAACCAAGTATTTCTTCTTCGAGTATGATGGAGTCTGTAAATTTATGGAGTCGAGTAGGTTTTCCTTTTAATTTCTAGATTACTTATCCTTTATCTTTAACTCTTTCTTAATAAATAAGGCTAACGAATTTTTTTCTTTCTCGCAGAAAACAAAATGACCAGATTGTCGGTGCAAACTGATTTCAGCTACATTGAGGCATTTGGTCGATTGCCCGACCAGAGTCGCGACGCGAAGCTGCTTGTGACTACTGCCAATCTTTGAAAGTACGGGTTTTCAGTCTTGAGGCGTCTTTGGAAGCTCCAGCTCATAAATATTTCTCACGCAGAAAAATCTTAAGTCTTTATTAACAAAAGAAGACTTTCTTTGTTGATGCCTTTTCATGCCATGCAACAACTATGCCACCAAAGGTCCCAAAGACATCGAAGAAATCTGAGGGGTTCACATTCCCCAGGATTAACCCGACTGAACCAGTTGGAGCGACTTCCAGCAATATCCCAGCGAAGGGGATACAAATTGATGTTGAAAGGCAACAACCCCCTAAGCGACGTATGGAAGCTCCCTGGCCCGCAGCTGCTTGCACTTCAAAGAAGAAGACCATGGGCCAGACGACCAAGAAAAGAAAACAAATACCCATCGAAGAAGAAATTGAGTCTAAATCAGAAGGTTTCGAGGTATTGCTAGACAAGCTTCAGCCTTATCAAGTCCTCTCTATGGGACGTCTTGAAGGGATGTTCCTGGGACTTCGACTGCTCTCGATAGTTCGCAAAGGGAAAAGGGAACGACCACGACTACTCAAGGGGAAGCAGACGAGCAACGGGTCGGAGGGGTTCCTACCCGTACGAGGCTAGACCCATTCGTGTTGGATCTATTAGGGCAACTATCGGACCATTTACGGTCGATGGTTTACACCCTCTTAGAATGCCAACTAGCCACAACCTTTGACAGGTTTGTGGCTTCTCGACCCGCCGACCTGGTGGCCACCACACTTCAAATGCAAAGTCAGGTAAAATGACTTGCTCTTTTCGAGAACTCTTCCATACAAGTCGACCTCTTAGTTTTTTAAGATCTTAAAAAACTAGCTTTTTATTCCTTTTCAATGCAGTCTTTGCTCGCCCTAAATGTGGTCCAACAGAAGATAAAGATCGATTATGCTGGCAAACTCCACGAATTGAAGGAAAAAGTTGCCAAATTGAAGCAAGATCTCGTGGCTTCAGATGCAGAGGCAAAGGCTTCCTACATTCAGGCGAACGTGTACCTGACAAAAAGGAATTCTACTATGTGAGCAGTTGACTTTTAGAAGACTGAGCTCGAGAAGAAAGATATCGATAACAAGAAGCTCGAACGGACAGTGGTAAGGCTCACCAAAGAGTTGGGCTCGAGAGAAAATGAGCTGCAACCGAGCTCGGAGCGTGAAAAAGTAGCAGAAAAGACTTGAGCTGAGTTATAGGAAAACTCAGAGAGAGAGAAAAGGGCGTTGCGAGCAGATCTTGAGATAGCTCAAGGGAGAGTCACTTTGCTGACCGAGCAGATGAAGCGACAGAACCTTGAGCTGGAGAGAAAGGCTGCTTATTGAGCACTAAAAGCTATTTATAGCTTATGGGCGAGAAATCCAAACATGGATATCTTCAACCTCCCCGAGGACTACGAAGCCGCTATTGTTTCTATGGTCAAGGTCGCTGAACAAGAAGAACAAGAGCCTGCCCCGGAGGACGATCAGTAGGAATCAGATATCCCTGAAGATCGAGAAATCGACTTGGAGATCGGTAATCAGCGAGACGACCAAGAGGTCTCAACCAGGGATCCTGAAAATGAAGACCAATGATCGTTCTTTTCTTTGCTTGAATAGAGTCTTTTTTGCTTATCTTTTTTATGTGGCTCCTAGTCGTCCCTTGTACTTATTTCTGGAATATATAAAAAGGAATTTTTGACCAATTGTGATAGCACTTTTATAACTTAAGCACTTCACAAAACAAATATAGCATATACGATCATTGAACTTATAAAATGTTACAAATAATAAGATTGTTAAAAACTTGTAATTACGACACAAGTATTTCCTTAAGGAGAATTAAGACAATCTTATTCATGATATTTACAACAATGAAAACTTTATAAGTAAAAAAATGATCAAGCTATAAGCAAGTTCGGAATTACTGATAATAGGGGCGAATATGTTCAGCATTCCAAGCTCGTGACACTTCAAAACCATTAAGCCTCTTAAGGTGGCACGTTCCAGGTCGTATTACCTTAGCGACACGATATGGACCTTTCCAATTAAGTCATAATACCCTTGCACTTGGCTCTTTTGTGCTGAGAATGACTTCTTTCAAAACCAGCTCGCCAACCTGGAAGTTTCTTCTCTTGACTTTAGAGTCGAAGTGTCTTTTAGCCCGCTGCTGGTAGGAAGTTATCCTTAACCGAGCTTTGTCGCGGTCTTCCTCGATTAAGTCCAAACTTGCTCGTAAGAGTGCTTCATTTTCTGTTTTAAGTAGAATTCTCTATAAAGTGAACCAGCTCCTACTTCCACTAGAACCATTGCCTCGCAGCCATATGCTAGCGAGAAGGGTGTTTCTGAAGTAGAGGTTCTCGAAGTTGTTCTATATGCCCATAGAATTTATGGAAGATCATCGGCCCAATTGCCCTTGGTTGCGCTAAGCTTGGACTTCAATGTGTGCTTGATAGTCTTGTTGACAGTTCAACCGGACCATTAGCCTGGAGTCTTGCCACTAAGGCAAATTTCATATGAATCCCCAACTCTTCGCAAAACTGTTTGAATTCCACATTGTCGAATTGTTTCCCATTATCAAAGATGAGTGTATGAGGAATCCCATAGCGGCACACTATATTGTTGAAGACGAAGTCTTTAAGTTTCTTTGTAGTGATCGCGGTCAAAGGCTCTGCTTTGACCCACTTAGTGAAATAATCCATTGTGACCACTGCATATTTGACGCCCCATTCACTAGTTGGCATGAGTCTGATGAGATCAATTCTGCACATAGAGAATGGCCAAGGACTGGTCATCATTGTTAACTGCTCTGAAAGTTAAAGATTACAATCAGAATACGGGTTCAGTATCAGAATCCCGAAAATGAGAGGGGGAGTCCTCTATTTATAGTAGAGGAATTCAAGGTAATGATTACAAATCTACAGGTGAGTAGGTGCAGTGCAAGTCTTTCCTTGCCTCTCATTAGCTGATAACTTATGAGACATCCTCAAATTACCTGGGGCTTAGACAAGTGTGCGGCTCTCATTCATTTGTAGACAAAACCTGAATCTGCCAAGTTGATGACAGCCATATCTTTCCTGTCATGGAGCAAAGTAGCAGTTCCTGGACGGCGCAAAGCCTTCCTGAACTCTGATTGGTGCTTGTTGATGTAAGCCCTGATTTTTTAGGCACAATACGTATTACTAGTTGGGCAACTAAAGACTAGATTATAACAAGATATGTCGAAAATTTTATAAAATATAGTGTAATTATTTGGTGAATGGAAACCCAACAAAATATGGAAGATATTCACTCCTGGGTACTGGGTAGTGATGGGATCAATATAACCTGCAATATATAAATCAATTAATAAAAAAATTTTGTCACAAATATTGAAGGAATAGTAACCGAAATGTATGAAAATTAAATAGCTTTTTCAAGTACAATGTATTTATAAAAGAATAAAAAAAAATCACCAAATAGTTAGGTTCCATTAAGACGTGTCAAATATGTTTTTTTATCCATTAATATAAAAATTATGATATTGATTCTAGAAAATTTTATGTGGATGAATCATCAAGCTATTGATTTTTGAATTTCTTTGTAAATATATAATAAGAACATAGCATCGATTGCAACAAATGTTCGAGAACTTATCACCTAATTTATAGCTATAGTTTCATAAAGCAAACAATCTAGCATAGAAATAATCTTCAAGCTCAGCCGGCCATAAGGAGAAATAACAACTTTGTTGAAAATCAGGAACAAAGCTCAGCAACACAACCACTATAAATTTGCGTTCTACCGTGCATTATTACACCACAAAACACAATAAACCAAAACTTCTCATTTTTATATAATCATGGCCTCAAATTTTCTTAAATCAATTCCATTTTTTCTCTTACTTGCAATGGTCATGGCAGGTGATCCAGATATCACCACAGACTTTATAGTTCCTGCAAACGCTAGCGGTAATTACAACATAGATGGGAATTTCTTTACCTTCACAGGCATGCGCAGTCTGGTTAAGTCTGACTACCCATCAACCTTCACTGTGACTAAAGCTAGTCTTGCAAACTTTCCAGCTTTGGATGGTCAGAGTGTCTCTTATGCTGTTTTACTGTTTCCAGTAGGAGCAATTAACCCACCTCACACACACCCACGTTCTGCTGAGCTACTCTTTGTAGTAGAGGGGAGTCTGAATGTTGGATTCGTTGACACCAATAACAAGCTTTATACACAAACACTTGAAGTTGGAGACATGTTTGTGTTTCCAAAGGGATTGGTGCACTATCAATCAAATGATGATCCAAAACAACCTTCAACCGCAATCTCTGCTTTTGGAAGTGCTAATGCAGGCACAGTTTCAATTCCTCCAAGTGTGTTTACGACTGGCATTGATGACACCGTCCTTGCTAAGGCTTTCAAAACTGATGTTGCAACTATTCAGAAGCTAAAGGCAGGCCTTGCACCCAAGGCTTAAATTCAATCAATCTCATCTTGTTCTATTTTGTTGTGCTTGTTTTTACTTTTTTATTTTTTTAATATTTATGTTGTATTATTCTCTAGCTAGGCTATACGCGTCAGGTCAGCATCACTTATTGGTAAATAAGTGGAGTTTATGTAATAACACTAATAATTTGTCAAAATTAATTGTAACTCTAGATGCCGTTAAATATGAAGTCGATCAATGAAGTAGTTATTTTATCTTGTTCGGTTAAATTTAAGTGGTCCGCGACATTTGATAAAAATATTTGCACGCATAGGTTTATTATTATTAAATTTGTTAAGTTGGTTAGAAATGTGAACATTACTCTAAAAGTATATCGTATAATCTCGTAGGAATTTTTATAAACTTTTCATGAGGGTCGTTAATATAACATACCATGAAGATATATGTGTGCTTTTTATAAGCTTATCATCGAATATTATGAATTTTGTGGTCAATTTGTTATAGAATTGTTATGCCTGAAAAAGTAGGATTGACGCGGAGTCTTGTCAGCATGGGGTGGTCAGAACTTGGGAAGGTTTCGCGACCGTTCAGACGCGGCCACGTCACATAATGACGCAAGTGGCATGCCACTGTCAGTACAGTAGGTGAGTGTCAGGTTAGCGAATGGTTGGAAATCGTCCACGTGTCTGATCCCTGTGAGAGTCGAGGAAATCACTGGGGCAGGTGAGCAATGGGACGCAGAGAAAGATTTGCACGGTATCTACCCACTTGCAGATTTAGTAATCATTACCTTGGTTTATCCCACTATAAATAAAGGACTCCCCTCTCATTTGCAGGATTAGCTAATTTCACTCTAGAATAGCTCTCTCTCTCTCTCTCTCTCTCTCTCTCTCTTTTGTATTCTCTGAGCTGTAACTCAGTTCGTTGAATGCGACATGACCTTACTCTCATTAATACAATATCAGTGGACATATGATTCCTTTTTGAGGATCCAAACCACTTTAAACATTGCTTTTCACTCTTTATTTAACTAAATATTCTCACATCACGTGTGACTTCTAAGTCCACTTAGCATTTCTCACATGCGAATAGTTGGTGTTAAAATCAAGCATCAACAAGAATCAATACTTTGACATGGTACTTGTTAGGTTTAGAGCAAAAATAGAGAAGAAAAACGATAAAGAAAAAGTAAAGGAGAGTAAACTGAATATACTTTGTATTTTGTCTAAGATTCTCTAAAGAATACAGTTTACAATGTAGCTTTTATATGCTATAGTCAGCTTAGTAAAATAGTTGAAATATAACTGCATTTACCGACAGTAACAACCTCTTAACAAACTAAACAGGGCAGTTTAATAACTACTGTAAACAAACTTAACAACTTATTAACAACTTAACAGATTCTTAACTTCCTAACTGATATCTTCCCTTAAACTAAACTGAGTAAGATTCTTCCAATTTCTGATACTAATATCTTCCCTCAAATTAGACTGGGAGGTTTTGACATTCTTCTTATGACAGATATTCTTCTTGTAATTCTTCATAATCTTCATAAGAGTAGAGGACTGCTTGCTTAGAACACACATCATCATTGCCTCAAAGGAAGACCAACAAAGAAGGGCTCACAAAAGCATCTTCACAAGAGCAACAACCAAACTTCCTCACAAGAGCATCTTCACAGGAGCAACAACTCACAAGAGCATCTTTACAGGAGCAACAACCAAACTTCCTCACAAGAGCATCTTCACAAGAGTAACAACCAAACTTCTTCACAAGATCAAACAACCAACTTCTTCACAAGATCAAACAACCAACTTCTGTATCAAAACATTACTAAACTAACTTCACTAGTCATAAGAAAATTCTTCACAATCACAACAACCACACTTCTTCTTAAGGACAAACAAACAACTTCTGTACTGGAGTAAATGACACCAGAATATTGCTGAACAAATTTCACTACTGTCAATCATACTCACAGGTCTGTTAGAACAGACTACAGTACTATAACTATCTTTTACTTCACCACATGATACCAGCCAGAAATCAACATTTTCACCAGTCATCAAAGACAACCAATATAAGTCAGCCAAAGAAATCATCATTTTCATCAGTCATCAGAAAACAACCAATATAAGAGCAGAAGTTAAAAACACAACCATAAAACTGCCAATTTCAGTAGTTGAAAGAGAAAATTCAGATTCACCAGTATTCTGAGGACAAGCTTCAACTGTAAGTTTGGTTCTGAAATGTTAAAATTTAGCAGTGGACAAAGACTTGGTAAACATATCAGCTTTTTGGTGATCAGTAGGAACATATAGTACTTTAAGATGTTGAGCAGCAACCTGTTCCCTGACATAGTGGACATCTAATTCAATGTGCTTTGTCCTAGCATGAAAAACTAGATTCTGCACTTTGATTATCACACCAAATAACAGGTATCTCATTGAGTGTTAGACCAATTTCAGAAAACAAACTGCGAAACCAAGCTATTTTAGTTGCCTCTTGGGCAAGTGCTCTGTATTCAGCTTCTGTAGAAGATAAAGACACTACCTTTTGCTTCCTAGAGCTCCATTATAACAGATTAGGACTAAGAAACAAACAGCAACCACTTGTGGACCTTATATAAAAATTTATTAAGCATTTCTAAGTTTACTAGAGACAATAGTGTAATTGTTGAGTTCTTTGCTGATCATTGTCTGGTTAAGGACAAACACTCCAAAGTTGTTCTTCTTCAAGGAAAGCTTAAAGCTGGCCTTTATCAACTTCAAACACCTGCTGTCACTTCTCCACAGTCCAATCTGCCTGTTGGTCATTCATCTGCTCCAGTCTCCAACTCACTACGATTCACTCAATCTAAAGCTTCACGGTCTTCTAAATCATGTCCTAATAATACTAGTACATTGTATGCTCCTAAAGCACCTGATATTACTAATGCCTTGTCTGATTCTGTTGTTGCAAATAATATGTCTGGTTCTGATATTTCCAAGTTTCCTACATTTGTATCCAATTGTAATATTGCTACTAATGCTAAAGAAAGAAGCATAATTCAATCTTTTCCAGTAGAAAAAACTAATAGCATGCTGTGGCACAAGAGGTTAGGACACCCTAATGCAACTGTTCTTACTAAAATTATGCATGTTTTACAACCTAACTATTATGTAAAAAACACAATTGAATTCTGTCTAGCATGTCAGTTTGGTAAGCTTCACCAATCAGTTTTTCCTCAGTCTAAGTCTAGAGCTTCAGATCCATTAGAATTAGTCTATTCAGATTTGTGGGGACCATCCCCTATTCCATCTCCTGAAGGATTTAAATATTACAAACAGTTTCTAGATGACGATAGTAGGTTCACCTGGATTTTTCCATTGATAGCTAAATCTAAAACACAATTAGTCTTCCAACAGTTCCACAAATTAGCTGAAAGACAATTTAACAAACCCTTGAAATGTGTCCAAACCGATTGGGGAGATGAATATAGGAGTCTAGTTCCTTACTTTGCTAACCAAGGTATTGTCTTTAGGCATCCATGTCCCCACACTTACTAGCAAAATGGAAGAGTAGAGAGGAAACATCGACAAATAGTTGAACAAGGCTTAACCTTGGTAGCTCAAGCCAACATGCCCTTAAAATATTGGTGACATGCTTTTCAAACTGCTACTTTTCTCACCAACAGATTAGCTACACCAGTTCTGTCTAATTCTTGCCCATTTCAGGTTTTGTTTAAGAAAAATCCTGACTACTTTGTTTTTAAAGTTTTTGGTTGTGTTGTGTACCCTTTTATCAGACCATATAATTCTCATAAGTTTGGTTTTCACACCAAACAATGCACTTTTGTTGGTTACAGTATGCATCATAAATGTTAGAAATGTATGGATTCAAATGGAAAGATTTATGTTTGTCAAGGTGTCAAATTTGATGAGTCTCATTTTCCCTTTGCTTCAACCTAATCTGTTTCCAGGGACAGTACCTCTATTCCTTCCTCCTCTTATGATCACACTCCTATTGTTCCATTTTTCTCCCTTCCCAACTTGTCTTGTTTATCTTCTGATGTCGCTACTGGTTCTTCAGACTTATCCATTACTGATCCGTAGAACTCACCAACATTAGAGTCTCTTAGTAATACTTTACCTGCTCATAACCCTAGTGTATCTGCTCCCAACCCTTTGTGCACACTGCCTGTTCAGTCTACTAAGATTGCCTCACCAAACTCTCCTGAATGCACCTCAAATTCATCTACAAACTCTTCTACATAGCCACTTGTCCAGTCTGCCTCACCTACATCTCCCACACAAACCTCACAGTCCTTTGCACACATACCTGTTTTTTCTTCACTTATTGATGATCTACCTTCTCCTCCACAACTTTCTACTTCAACCAACCTACCTAATTGTATTCACCTTACAGTTGAGTTGCCTTTTGAGCCTAAGCCCTTACCTACTCATCCCATGATTACTAGAAGCAAAGCCAAACAACATAGTTCTTTAACTGTTTCCTCCACAAATCACTCTTCCACTCTTGACAAAACTAAACCAACCAATGTTACTGAAGCACTCTCTCATCCCTCTTGGAAAACTGCCATGGAGAGTGAGTTCAATGGTTTGCTCTTTAATAATACTTGGAAACTTGTTCCTGCTGAGTCAAACATGAATGTTGTTGGGTGTAAGTGGGTCGTCTTTCGACTTAAACATAACCCTGATGGTTCTATTCAAAGATACAAAGCTAGATTAGTAGCTAAAGGATTTCAGCAGACCCTTGGTGTTGATTACCTTGAAACCTTTAGTCCAGTTATCAAATCTTCCACAATTAGAGTAGTATTGAGTCTAGCTATTACCTATGGATGGGATATCCAACAAGTGGACATTAATAATGCATTTTTGAATGGAGAACTAAGTGAGACAGTTTACATGACTCAACCCACTGGTTTTGTTGATACTTAGAATCCACTTCATGTTTGTCAACTAACTAAAGCATTGTATGGCCTAAAACAGGCCCCAAGAGCCTGGTTTGAAAAGCTTAAGACTGCCTTTCTCAAATGGGGTTTTGTCTCTTCTATAGCAGATTCCAGCTTATTTATTTTTAGGCAGAATGCTTAGGTCTTATATGTAATTGTCTATGTGGATGACATTTTGTTAACTGGAAATGATGCTGAGTTAGTACAAAATATTGTCCAAAGGTTAAACACTGAATTTGCTCTTAAGACTTTAG